AAGGATCACCATAGTCATTATTATAATATATCATTTGGAGACCATGAATTCACTGTGAAACTTGTATATGGCAGTCTGTTTTAATAGTTCTCTAGATATTTCAGTGTAGACCAAAGTAGTGGACCAACTGACTACCCAGCAGACCAGCACTTCAGTCCCAGACCTGGCTGTTAGCATGGCTAAACATAGTTTTACAAAAGAAGGACTTGTTTTTCCTGTATTGGTTTTGCTTATCCCCTAGGACTGTGTGCATTGTGCAGGAGTTGTTTTGGGTTTTTGTTTTTGTTTTTGCTGTGTAAAAAATAATTTGCCGTTGTAAAAGGCTTGCACTGCCGATAAAGGCTCAGTGCTGGCTAGTGATGCATGTTCTGGCATTTATTGTCAGTGTACACACCAACCAGTCAGCTTGTTGTTCTTGGTGTACAAATAAAGATTGCTTATTAAAACCAACAGATGACACCAAAAGCAAGATTATTTATTTTGGACATCCCCTCCATGTGCTGTAAAACTTTGATTGCATCTATAAAATGGTTCTTTCCTATGAACCATGCGGTCTGCTTTACAATAAGGCAAACACTAGCCTGCAGCTGCTACCAGCACCTGTCCAAACCTCACGTACATCCTTATGCACCCTAGGTGTAGGTCTAGACTTCACACATACACTCCTTGTGTGTATAGCAGCAGCCATAATACTCTTCACAGGAAATTGAATAGGCAGTGCAATGATCTAATATGAACCTGTGTACGTCTCAGATGTTATAGAATCGCTGTTTTTGGGAAGTGTGTTTTCCAACAAAAGATGGTTATCTGTAACATCTCTAGAGCCTGAGTGATGCACACAATCGCATCAAAGAAAATTCCTCTGTCCCTTCATTCACATGTGACAATCAAAAGCTGTGCCCTTTATACATGTTGGTCCTGTGTCATATGCAGATTCCTTTTGCGGTTTTGATGTCATCTGTGTGTGTGTCTGTCTCTGTGTGTGGGAGGAGGAAGACACAAAGAGATCAGATAAACACATGGTTGAGGAGGTGTTTTTTGATTTACAGGAACTTATTGAGGAGGAAATGGGCATCGTAGTCCGGTGGCTGTAATAAACGGGTAGACCTCCCTGCACCACTCGGCATCAAAGAGAGGCCAAACCCTAACCCGCACACATTTAAACATGCAGACATACACAGCTGCACACATGCGCACACTCCTGCAGAGAGTTTACAGTCAGTCCAGCAGGGGTGAAGGGAGGAAGAGGAGTGAGAGGACAGAAGGAGTATGGGAGTGAGTGGTGTGCTCAGCAGTCCTGGCCTGTGTTTCAGGGGAATTCCTGTAATCCACTGCACCTCATTACAACTGATTGATAGTATTTGGGTGACATAGAAACAACCAAGGGTTTGTGTGTGTGTGTGTGTGTGTGTGTGTGTGTGTGTGTGTGTAGACTGACCTTGGCCCATTTACTTTGAAGGATTTTGGAACGAGTTTGTTAAGAAAACATCAAATTTGTGGTGTTTTACACAGTGGCTACATAAGAAACACCAACTGGGTCAAGCCACTTCTGGAGAGAGGGATGCATTGGTGAGTTGTGTGTCTGCAGCCAAATGTTCTACTATGATAAGCAGTGAAAACTTTCTCCTCAACGTTAAAGAGCTGTCGCAATTTGACTGATAAGATTCCCTTGGCTTCAATGTAGCTTTCTCATTTTTAAATTAGATTTTTAGGTTGAATATTTGAAGAAGTGAATATGTGACAAAGTGTTGAATTTCTAGGGATGTTTAGATGTGGACTACTCCCTCTCTCTTTTACTGGCTCCAATGGCTACTCTGGCAGGCGTGGTCACCGTCCACTGTGTTGATCTCAGGTGTAACTGAGTGTAGTTTGATTAGGCTGGTTTTTCACTAGGAGGAACAGCAAATGAGTTCACTCGAATGTTCTTTTTCATGAAGGAAATGAAGTGTGAATTCCTACTAATATAGCATATAAAGAAAAATAAAATGAAGTGATGGTACGCCAGGTAACATCTAGGTAAATTAGCAATACTAAGTGGAATTAAAAAAAAAAAATTCTCCCTTAAAAATAATGGCAACCTATTTTTCCAAACACATTTTATTGGTTCCTGTATAGCTGTCAAACTAAGATGGCCACAGTAATATGAGCCTCTTCCTACCCAGTGTTTTGCTTGAAACTAGACACTGCCTGTCCCCCCTCATCGGCAGCAACTTGGCCTCAGATACACAGACAGGCTTGCCCAGCCTCGAGTCTGCAGGCGCTTTGTTTTGTTGAGTTCACTTGAGATTCCTAAAATAACGTGTTGGCACATCTGTCTGGGGAGGTGCAACACATTTCAGCTCGGGCCACACCCACATACATGCACTGCCCTATTGACAGATTGGCAAACAGCCATGTCTCCCACCAAACTCATCAAAATCCCAGACGAGGGAGCTGTTTGCCTTGAATCCTCATGCCCTCGCTGGGTGAATCCCAGCTCATCCCTGCTTCTCACTTTAACTATTTTATTTTCAACATCAGTATTGTTTTTCAGTAGTGTTCAGAGGTGACACCTTATTAGTTCAACCTGAGTAAGTCTAATTAGCCACAGTAAGTGAAAACACCTGTGTGGGTGTGCTTTGGACACATTGGAAGCTATTAGTTAAAACTATCAGTTTTAACTAATAGCTTAATCATTTACTATCTTTTTTTTATGGTCAGCAGAGGAATGTAAAAACCCCACGTAATAAGCCTGCACATGCACCAGTCAACATTGTGCAGGGCACATACTTAATAGGAAAACCATTTTTGAGTGTAGGGAGTCTTTAAAGAGTGAATGGCCTTTTTTCAGGTTGTTTAAAAAACCTTGGAAATATTTAGAGGCAACATTCACAATCATATGTTTGAATGAACAGATGTTTTCATTTATGAATAGCCAGCAGCAACATAAAATTACATGGCTTTATTTCATTTAATTGGCACTACTAAGCAATGTCTTTACTTTCTCTCTACTTTCCTGTTGATGGGGATATACATTCACAATAATGTTCCTGTTACGAAGCCTCAGGGGTGAGATACAGGAAGATGAGGTATTGCATGTTAGTGAAGTAAGAATATGAAAACACAAGCACTCACTGTAACACCTACAGTGCGCGCGTGCACACACACACACACACACACACGCACAGACACACACATATGAAACTCATTTATCAGAATTCACTTACACATCCATTAACCATCCCACCACCTCTCCTCTGTCATATCTCTCTCTAACACACACATGGGTTAATTACAGCCATAACTAGTGCTTGGATGGAAACGAAGTTTGATAAAACTACCTAATGACAAATGCGATTTGGGAAATTCCCCTTCCTGCGCTCACGCTCACTCTCTGTCATACATCATATCTTAATTATTCATCCTCCTAATGTGTTTTTTCAGAATTTACACTTTCATAGTTCAAGGTAGACAAAGCACCCAGTAATTACTGTCTGTCGCTGTTGCCATGGAGATGATATCTACAGTCACATGATGGCCTCCCAAGGTGACCAGGAAGTGGTTTTATCGCAACATGGGGTGGGGGGTTATGGGTACAAGTGGCAGTTGGGTCTACGTGCGTGCGCGTGCGTGTGCGTGCGTAGCTTCTTTTCTTGATTTATGTGGTGATTGTAATGACATCATGTTCAATAGTGGAAAGGGTTATAAATTAGCCATGAGCTAATGGAGTGTTTCTGTTAGCTGGCACTCCTCTTCACTTCTCAGATGGAAAAGCCATTTTCTATTTTGCCTGTGAAGTGAATAAACTTTCCTAGATCTTACATTAATTTTGCAACAGTATTATTTACTCAGAAAAATACTGATATGGCCTTTCATGCTAAATTGCTCTTATCATAGACAGTAATGCTGTTATTTATTAAAGTTCTGCTGTTTGATTTGTGGTTCTAATCATATTTCTAACTAACCATATATTTTATATGATTTCATATATTTTTTATATTTTATTTTTTATCATTTGTATGGTTTTTTTTACCCTTTTATTAGCCTACTGTTACAGGTTAAATAAATAGCTCTTTCCTCATTCTTTAGTTGTGTTTTTGCTTGCTACTTAATGTGTTCAGCTGTGATCAGATAAGAAAAACAAATGCACTGGGTCTAGTGTAACCACAAAAGTTGATAAGTATTACATACACACACCTATGCTGGCAGAGGAGAATAAGTCTTGCATCATGTCACAGTTTTTGCATAACTTGTACCATTTTCTGCTGTGTCACTACTATGTGGCCTTTTATTTGTTGTTTGACAGGTACTGGGAAGGTAACAGATGGGCTGCGTATTTTGACAGTTCGATGCCTTTGCTGGATGTATAGCAATTAAGATGCAGTCTAATTTCAGAGGCTGTGAAAACTTGGTGATGGCTGATGTTATTTTTTTCCCAGGGCAGCAGGAGATTTCATCATTGCATTAGAATCGACTTTGATCATTTAGCTTCCACACACCATGGAAGTCTCACTTACTCTGGGGCAAAGCACACATGCACTGCTTGTTGTGTTAATAGGGAGTATGTGCTGCACTGTAGGTATACTGTCAGTAATAAAGCTCTGCCCTCTCTTTGATCACAGGGCTTGCCTCATACTGAGAAATACACGATTAAAACAGTGCAGGTTCTCTATGTCAAACAGAAGCGACAAATGCAATACTGTATGTTGTGGTTACAGTCTGGTATGGATTGTCTAGCATGTATGCTGTACAGCGTATAGCTAATGTTTATAATACAGTACATGCTTCATTGATCAAATAGAAGACCCACATCAGTCTGCTTTAGATTTAGATTCTTATTTTTTGTTACTTTTCTACTGTTGGCTGTTGATTTTTCTAAATGTGCCTGGGCCATTGGATCAGTAGCAGCTTATGTAGCAGGAAATAAAGAGGACACACTCACTGTGATAGTTGAATTTCTTTTTCAGTGGGAGCAGAAGATGCTCAGTAACGTTTTCGTCTTGTCCGTTCTTTTTTCACAGACGGTCAGAGGAGGAAGTGGACATGGACAAAGTGACGGCTGCCATGGTACTGACGAGTCTCTCCACTAGCCCACTGGTGAGGAGTCCACCTGTTAAAGTCAGCGGTGAGCATCTCAACTACTAAATGACTGATTAAGTGGGGATTCCTCTGACAGCATGGATTTTGACAAATACAGTATATTTTCATCTTCACTGTTTTTGACAAATATTTGGCTTTGATGTGTCATTTCCTCTTTTCTGTCTCAAATAAATCAGAGATTTTATTAAAATTAGAAACAAAGGCTCAGCTCAGCTTAAGTCAGTGATTTGTGTTCTGACTTTTCTTTCCTCATGGCTTTTATCTTGTGAATGCATGTGGAAGCTTAGTTTTACAAAATCACTGCCACCTGCTGTGCTTTAGAATTCTCATCAGTCAGTTCTGCAAATCCAGAGACAAACACAATGATTCTGAATCTCTGCCAAATGACACGGTGGCAGAAATCCAGAGTTCCTCCTAAATACATTGACATTCAGCCACTTAGAACATGCAACCATCCAGCTGCACATTTAACTGAGCAGACATGCAGCCGGCCCTCTAACCACCATGCACGTGTTATCGCACAGACACATGCAGTCAGATGTTAAATTTACATCATCCACCTGTACAGCTTTATCTTAATGCATGCAGTCAGATGTTAAATTTACATCATGCACATACCACCTGCACAGCTTTATCTTAATGTTGTCATAGAAATGTTCCAGTTTTGGAGATCATACAATGTGCATTTACATCAGTACAGTAGGCTCTCCTGCATACTGCACACTAGAGTTTCAAGTTCTTGTATATTATCTATTTTGAGGGAATTAGTGCTAAATGTTATCAAAAGGCCTTTTCTTATCTTTAAAACATAACATCATTAACCTTTATTTGATTATATTTTCTTTTCTGTCCCATCAAACCAAACCCACACGAGTAGTTTTCTTATTGTTGGTGCACCACTTCCTCTTTTCTGTGAAACACTGTGCAGAAGACAGTAGCGTCTAAGAGGAGGGACATCCCTCTGAGAAGCAGCCTCACTAAACCAGCTCTTAACCAGCTCTTGGACTCACTCCCTCAGTTACTCACAAATACACACACACTCTCTCTCATACACACACATACTCTACCCAGAGTTTCCACCGGCTTCCATCTTCACAAAGTAAAACACCTTTTTTAAGACGTATTCAAAAGAAACATTTCTTTGGTCTAACAAACAAGACTGTGGAAGTGTCACAACAGGAAGAGAAAAACCTTCTTTTTTGTGACAGTCAACAGTAGTGCTGGGAGGCTCTTTTGTGGGAAGCACAAATAAAGCTGTCTGAACAAAACGGAGTGTCTTGATCTCTCATTGCTGACAGAGGAACACCCACACATTTTGCTGTGGTTGTAGCATTTTCTAATATGACTGAAGAAGTTGGATTTATTACTTTCATGCTTTGTCCATGCCTTCTCTGTTCATCTTCTCAGAGTCTCTAAGTGGTTCATGGAAGGACAATGGGTCAGCGGGACTGTTCACCCCATCTAGCAACAGCTCTTCAGGGGGCTACTGGAGCTGGTCTGCCCCCAGTGACCAGTCCAATCCTTCCACACCTTCCCCTCCACTCTCTGCCGACAGCTTCAAGCCTTTCCGTGTGCCCAGTGTAGGCGGTGTGGGGCCCGGCCCCGCAGGGCCCGATGACCCCAGCCTGGACGAACAGGACGGCAGCAGCCTGCTCTTTGATGAGCCCATCCCCCGCAAGCGCAAGGTGAAAACTGCAGACCGCATCTGAGTTGAAAAGGTTCAAAGAAAACTAAGTTAGGCTCTGTACACTGAAAGCAAACCTTGGTGAGTTGAATGCATGTCTGCTACTGAAAGGAATAGTCTTATACAGGTATGGATAAATTATTACTACAATTCATGAACATTTGAAAATGTCAACACTGAAACACAAAGTAGCAACAAAACGGCTACATTTCGTGTCAGTAAACATCACAGTGGTTTATGACAGTCATGTGTTATGAAGTGGAAGAAATACCACCTGCATCTCAGCTGGACTCTGGTTTAACCCTTACAACTCTCAAAGATCACTTACATCGTGTTCCAGTATAAGAATAGACCCATGCTTTAGATTTACAGTAGTTCTTCTGAACTGACCAAGCAGGAACTGATTGATTATTTGATGGCTGTTTATACATGACCTACTCACTTGGTTATCATCAATTACTGCTCTAAGTCAGTAAAAGTACCACTGATATTTAAAATGAGTGATCACGGAGAGCGTTAGCAGCTAGAAAGTTGTCTTTTTAGCTTCCCTGCCTGACTGTGACTGAACAGAAAGCTTTCTGAAAGCTCTGTCTTTGTGTTGACACTGAATCTTGGGCCTGGTGTTGTCAGTTTTTGAAATTATTTATTTTTGGATATAGAAAATGCAGTGGGAATAACGGCTCAGCGTGGATGGAATGCCAAAGTGAGCGACGCATTTTCAGATTTAGCCAGCTCATTATGGATAAAGCCTGGGGAGTAATAAAGATTTACTGTTAAAAGGAATTTTCTCTGGTCCTCACAGTTTCTAGGAAATAACAAATCATGCACTCGTGAGGCCTTAGAAATACTCACAGCAGTATTTTTTTATTACAGTGTGGAGCTGCCATCGATTGACATGTCGCACTGGATAAAAGATCCAGGAGAATCACCTGCTCACAACCAGAGCAAAACTAACTGTTATTTGACCTTGCTCAGCTTTTAGTTGAAAGTGTGTTCTGAAAGGCTTCATAGAAAACATAATGTAAAGCTGCAGGTCCATTCAAACTCTAACAGAGATGATGTGGGAAGTTGTTTCAGTGCATTGTCAGTATGCAGGAAAAATATCAACATGATGTTGAATAAATTCTTAAGTGATTAAGTTTGACAGCATTGGCTAACAAACATCATTTGTCAGTAGAAGGTCAGCCACATAAATCCACCACACTCCACCGTACATATTCAAGTAATGGTTTATTTATTAAAAGACAATTGACTTAAACATACATTTATAGTAAATTGATTCATGTAATTGTATTTTTATTCTAAATAAAGATTGACACCATAAAATAAACAGTGATGCCTAATTAACAAAATACAAATTACAGCAAAACAAAGATGTACTAGTGCTCAGTACTGCATCTGATGCTACCTATGTAGTGTGTAGGAAATTCATTTATTTCCCTCCTTGCCAAGAGGTCACTGCTAAATGAGAGAAAAAGCATTAATCCTTGTGTCTGTCATACATTGTGCAGTCACCTGAAGAGATTTTATGATGTACATTTGGATAGTCGGCCCACCCTGCAGAGATAGACCACATGTATTTTCCCAGCTGTAACACAGAGATAAGTTGAATGAACAGTTCGGGAATTTTGTCTTCACACTTTTGTAGTGTCAGTCACGATGGTGACAGATAAGAAAGGTCACATCTGAATATGTGATAAATTATGAAGGAGTGCTGTTTTAGAGTCAGTGTGCGAGCGTCGACCAAACACTGATGTTAGACTGTATAAAAGGTCCTGACTTAAAAACAAATGTTCTTCTTTCCAAATGCTCTTTTTGTCCATCAACAAGGAAACATCTGTGAGCTCCTGTGTTTTCTGACTCCAGCTGCTGTCTGTTGTGTGTTTCCTGCAGAACTCCATGAAGGTGATGTTCAAGTGCCTGTGGAAGAACTGTGGCAAAGTGCTGAGTACTGCTGCTGGCATCCAGAGACACATCCGCACCATCCACCTAGGGTAAGACACCGGCACACGTATATAGACACACCATGTAGGTTAACTAGCATCCATTCAAAACAACAGGTTATTGGTTGATGGATTATCGCTACTGCAACACTTCCTCCTCTGGGCGTGATGGGAGTGGGGGCAGGTGAAAGGAAAATGAACGAGGTGGAGAACAATGATATTGGATGGCTCACACATTATTACTGAGGCCTCTCTGTGCTACACTGACACACTGCAGATGACAGTGTTGTGCAGATTGAGGGGTAACATTAATGTTGAAGGAGGGCTGGGGTCGCATGTGATCACGATTGGCTTCACACTTGTGACATAGGTGTGTTTCCTTCAGTCTTTTCTCTGCCCATCACGTCTCACTGGCCGGATCCTCCGTTTCCATTTCCAGGCGTAACTGTGACTCAGACTGGAGTGACGGCGAGGAGGATTTCTACTACACAGAGATCAAGCTCAACACGGACTCGGTGGCTGACGGCCTCAGCAGCCTGTCCCCCATGTCGCCCTCTGTCCTCTCTCCCCCTCCCCCCTCTCTTCTCCCCTCTGCCAGCCAGCCGTCAGACTCCCACAGACCCCCGCAGTCCTCTGACAGCAAGGAGCCTCTGGTTGGCGGCACCACCCAGCTGAGCCGCTCTGCACCCAGTGCTCTCTACCTCATCCACACGGACCACGCCTACCAGGTGAGCACGTGCTGGAAGCAGAGGGAAGTGTGTGCACATGTACACCCATTAAGACCAATATACAACACATATGCTCAAACTCAACATGAAGATAAAAAAAGATTGATGCACTCTCTGGATCAACACCACAACACACTTAACTACACACATATTGTCTCACACACTACACTTGGTGTCCTTATTATGTCAATCACACGTCACAGTGACTTGTGGTCTTTCATTCCCGTTAGCAGCTCTGCTAACAGTTACTGACACACGGCAACAGACTGCAACAAATAAATATAGGTGGAATAATGGAACAGTCCATCACTTTTAAGCAACATTTCAGTCATTAATCTATGAGCTGGGCATTGATGTGAGATCTCCAGTGGTTTGGGCTACATGTTTTACCTGCAGCACGGTGCTTATCTCCAGACTTGTGTCTACAAAACTGGATGATGAGTTTTAGGGGATTGTTTTTACTATGTTCAGATTAAGAACTGAAAAGAATTGTCTTTTCTTTACACAAACCTAGATAGTGTTGCACAGAACTCCAGTTTTTCTTTTCAAGCTCACTAAAAAAATAATACATTTTGTTTTTCATCAAAAGAAAAAAAGTTAAGTTCAAAGTGCTACCATTTAAAAGTGAGGCAGAGCAAGCTAAGCAGTAATTAAAAACTCATGAAGAGGCACAACAGAACTTAGGAGTGAGGGCTTTGTGAATTAAAACATGTTTTGAGCAATAGCAGAAATCAAGTTTGTTCTGCATACTTTGTAGCGTTTGTGTAGGGGCCGTAATACCCCTTTGACCTTTGACCTTTGACCTTTGCCTTCAGGCCACGGCTCCAGTGTCCATCCCATCTAGCAGCAGCAACTCAGCCAGCTCAGCTTCCACCAGCTTCACTCCTACGAACAGCTCCAGCTTCAGCATCTCCTGGCAGTCGCCACCCGTCACTTTCACTGGGAACACAGTGAGGAAGCTTCAACATACGCACGACCAAACATTTATTCTCAGCCTCAGCAGTTATACAGGTATTGTTCTTTTGGATTTTTAATCACCACAAATTTGTCTGCTCTCTGCAGCTGTCTCCCAGTAAGAGCCAGGGATTTGGTGAACAGCGCTCCCAGACCATCGCTGTCCTCTCATCCCCTCCCAGAGCCACCACTGCCCTCAGGTAGTAGACCTCGTTAGCTTTAATTAAAGACCAGATGAAATAGAAGCTCATATTAATGCCAAAGTATATAATACCATTCCCTGCTTAAGATTAGACCTCAACAAGTGAAAAGCGCCTCATGTGGTAAAAGATGAAAATAAGATCAGCCTAATGACTCTTAAATAGAAGGAAGCTGTGATTAGCTTCAGCCTCTGATTTGCTTAATTCACTTCAGTATGTAACCCAGCTGCTTTAGATTGCATGAGTTGTGTTACGTCTGTTATTTACTGCACCACGACATAAGTGATCGTGTAGGACTTAATCAGAGCTGAAGTGAACAAGGCAGAGCGATGCTAATGAAAACTGGTGCTTCATTCTATACTGATGGTTTTTAGCTGCAGTGAGCAGTAAAATATGTGGCAGTGCTTAATGGAATATTTCAACATTTCAGAAATACATTTAGTCAATCTCTGGTGGCGAGTTAGGTGAGCCGTTTGATCCCACTTTCATATTTAAATGTAAGGCTACAGACACCGGCTGATTACCACAAACCTAACACTTAAAGGCTTTAGCATCACTTCAGCACCAGACTCCTCACTCAGTCACATATAAACCCGTCTTGGTTTCAAACATCTCCTGTTTTTCTTATTTTCTCAGCCGGAAGGTGCGAGGCGAGGGGAAGAAGTGCCGTAAGGTGTACGGGATGGAGAACCGTGACATGTGGTGCACAGCCTGCCGCTGGAAAAAGGCCTGCCAGAGATTCACGGACTGAGTACCCCCGCCAATGCGATGGCATGCCACACCAGCAGGCACTGCTGTCTTTTGCCAGAGAAAGGGGGGAGAGGCATCATTTTGCATGCTTTTGGTTTTCTTTCAGAACTGTCCATCAAGCTCCGTCTCCGCCCCCTTTCTCGTCCCCTTGGCTCCACTGAACCATTCCAGCTGTGGAATCCACCAAAGGACGGCGGAATCCCGCTTTTACATTACCGTCCAGGATTCCCAGTCCTTCCTAGCCATTCCCATCATTCCCAGTTTTGGGGAAATCCCGGTGCAGCTAAACAGTGTAAAGAAAAAATAGATCTAAAGATTTCTGCCGTTTTTTTTATGTTCAGTGTTGCATCTTTCTACATATGTTTTGTAAAGCTCTGGTTTTTAAATGGAAAGTCTAGTCAAGGAAGGTGTCCAGACTAAAGCTTTTCTATCTGTTTTGTCAAAAGGAAAAAAAGAAATCCTCACCACTTTTTTTATCAAACGAAGAACAGACCTCTTTGCTGAACTCTGTTAAGATTGCTTTGAAAAGCATGGTGTTTAAAGCCTGCTCTTTTTGTTTTTCCTTCTACTTGTTCATCTCTTGTTTTATTTCTGGACTTTATAAGATCATTATTTAATCGCCGACATCACAGCCGAGCCCGGTCTCTCACCTGCTCTTCACACCTGACAGTCCCGAGAGAATGTACTGCAGAGCCAGAAAGGGCAGGCTGACACAGAGAAAGAAAAGGAGGAAGAGAAACATACAAGGTGAATGATAAATGCAAAAAAGATAGAATTTACAGTCAGGGAAAGCCAATGGACCATGCCAGAGATTTATCACATATAACCACAACAGCATTCACACACACAAATATTCCCACACGAGCAAGACGGGGACTATTTTTTATGTCACTTTTTTATCCAGTCAGTTCCTTTTTTTTTGTTTGTTTTATCAGGGATGTGATTCTGAAGAAAGCAAAAACCAGCAGCTAAACTTGGGGTTTTTACTGTAAACAGCACTAGCTCAGCAACCTCTCTCTTTCATGACACATGACGACTTTGCAACCAAAACCTCCTTTATCTTGTTCCTTATGTTTTTGGTTCTTGTTAAAGTGCCATGTTTACTGTTGTTGATGTAGGTTTGTTTTTGGGTTTTACTTTTTTTGGTAAAACCAAGACTGTTTACCGACCATTTGCTAAAGAAAGTGTGTTAAAAGCCCTTCCTGAGAGCACTGGAGGCGTGATGCCAGCAGTGTGTATGAGGCCATGACTGGATCAACATCTTTCACCACATACAGAGAGAGAGATTGCCCTCCTCCTCAGCCAACTTTTACACCTTCCCAGAGGGACAGAATAATTTTGTGTTTACATGTGCCACAGAGGCACATCCTGACAATTTGTTAACCAAAGGGGGAGGGTTGAAAACCAAAATTGAGGCACTTGCACTGTATGTGTGTAACAGGACACTTGTTATATTTGTTAAAACCTATGGTTACTTTGAGAGAGTTGTCTTTGAATATCTTCCACCAGCCCTCTACGTTTCTAATGTAACTGCATATAAAATGAAGTAGCAGCAAAGAAAGCAGATGCTTGACCACCCACACGTGGCTACTCCCACTTTATTTGTTTTGGAAAAGGGTGGAAAACATTATTAGCACTTCATTCGGTCACTTTTTTGTTGTTTAACGTGCACTGCACCTTCCTTTAATTTTGTATCATGTAAGCTAAACTTTTGCTTGAGTTTTTTCATACGAGTCCTTATGATCGAGAAGTCACCATTATTTTTGAGTGAAGTGGTGAAATTAATGTGTCATTTGTTTGAGTGTGTGCTGAAATCTTTACTGGCATGTTTGTCTCATACACACGCACGCACACACAGAGGATCATTTTACAGCTGAATTATTCAAAACTGACACCAGCTAATACACTCACATGCTCGCCAATTTTAATATTCAGTACTTCCACTGCCACCTTGAACCAGACTTAGTGAGGAAGTAATAGTTCAATTATTACATATTGTTCAACCTGTCGGGCTTCTGTTGTTTTGAATAGCCTTAAAGTCGGTCTTTACAAAATCATTGTGCTTCTCCTATGCCATTATTTTGATGTTCCAGTGAGAAATATTTAGATGATCTCAAAATGGATTCACCATTGTATTCTGTGAACTTATTACTGTTTAAGAAAAGACAAATCTATATATACATACAGAAAAACAATTTAAATTCAAAGGAAAAAAAGATGTTGATTTGGCTGTTTTTATTTTTCATATATATGGTTATATATATATATATACATAGTGTTTATGAATTTTGTTTTCATGTTCTGCTGAAGGAAATGTTTGTGGCTTTTGTAACTGTAGGAGGAAGCCCAGGCGCGATTTTCACCACAAGCCACACTTGCCTTGCTCTCTTCGCTGAGTGTGAGCCACACGCCTGCGGCTCCTTCACATCCCGCTCCCCACTGCCGGCGCTGCTTAGCCGTTGAAACCCACAGTTTATTAAAACCTTTATCTTATTTCTAGTTCTCCTCTCCCACTGTCATACAGCCCCACTTGCAATTAGTGTGACTGACATCTTGGTGTGTTTGCACCCATGCGTGTGATCACATGCATTTGTATGTATGAATGTGAGGGAGCCCCAGGCAAAGTTTTGCCACTGAAGCATGGTGCTGTATCCTCTCCTCTGAACTCCAGTCTTGCTTCTCCAAAGGAGTTACACACCTTTATCACATGGCCTGTGGTGTGCCCCCATCGGGGCGTGTGCAGGTCAAGGCCACCGTGGGGCTCCTGGCAAACCAGCACTTGTTGAATTTGTTTTTGTGGGTCCAGACTTCAGTGGCTGGATGTGGCTAATGTTGTATGTCCATGCTTTTCCCACTGCTGCTCCCGCTGTGGTGTTTCATGTTTGTGTTTGAACCATCTCCTCCTCCTCAAAATCTGACAGCCAATCAGATCCTGTCAGGTTTTGTCCCTGAACAAGTTCCTACAGATGTTAAGATCATTTAAAGATGCTGGAAAGACTGGATTTTGGAAGTGGCAGCGTGTCCCGGCAGCTAATTTTTAATTTTAATTCTAGGTCAGTGTTGTGTGGATCGAAAGGCTGATAGTAAGATTTGGTCAAAATAAGCTAATTTCACACCCTTATTTAGGGTGAATCCAAAGGATTACCTCAAAGGATATTTGCTGTTATAGTTCTCAATGCCGTCCATCTCCTCATCTGTCATTGAGGAATTCTGGGATTTGTTCATGGACTGTGGCCTGGCCTGCGTCATCGTGCTGAGAGCATCTTTGTCCCGTTCACTGCCAGTGGCACAAAGAGGACCTCAGCATGAAGGTGCTTTCAGACACTCAGCCCAGGTCTGTCTGGTGCTATAGCCTTGGCAGGGGGGTGGGGCGGTGGAGGTGCTATATAACTCATGCAGCGCTGGTTCTCCCATGATCATACTAACTCCATTTTGTACGCAATGTCATATGCTGTAGAACATGAAAATAAAAAAACACCCTGTCTCAAGTCTACAAGTGTCCCGACACGACTCAGTGACGGGGTTGCCCCAAATCCTCTGTCCTCTCTCCTGCTTCTTCATCAGTTTCTTTCATTATGGTGACTTGTACTGTCTCCTCACTTTGTGTGATCAGGCTTTCAAAGAATATAAAATTACTGTATTAAGTGCAAATCCTTCAGAGCGAGCATGGAAGTGCTTTTAAAATTTGAGAAGCAACAAAAACTCATTCTTGAAATTTGTAAACATTGGTTGAGGGAAAACAACCGAGGAGCCATAGATTTACTTGTCTTGGAGTTTTGGACTGCATCACAGTCTTCATCAGTAGACTGAGCTTTTCATTTATCACCAAACTGTAGATTTTCAAACTGTCAGTGATTGTTTAATTTCACAGCAACTAAGCAAACTCAGTCTGTGAAAGTATTAGCAAAATAAATACTAAAATTACCTAATCCAGAATGGCCCATTTCACAATAATCATATTTTGGCATTAGAATTAATATGTAAGCATCAGTAATGTTGCAGATGGGAAATGTGGAGCTAATGTTACCCACTTTATATGCTGCCTGTAAGATATATTTATTTGTTGATAACATGTTGTATTACTAATCTGACTCTACCAAGTAACTAAAGCTAACAAATGTAGTGGAGCAGAGGTATAAAGTAGAATAAATCAGAAATACTCAAAACCGTGCTTAAATACAGCACCTCAGAAAATGGACTCAGTAACTTCCCACTCCTGATAAAGCCCATGTGATACAGTAAAAAGCTCCATAAGGAGTAAGTGGGCCTTCAGTTGAGATTTTGTTGCCAACAAATATCCAAGTTGTTTTGCAAAATTGAGAAACGGCCATTGTCACTGACATTACAGAGTCTCGGAGGTCTAGAATTTTAAATACTTCACCAGCAGGTGAACACGTACAGACGGTAGGAAAATTGGATAGTTTTGGGAAAAGACTTGTTATTATACTCCCAAACTGACCTCCTAATGGTGCCATTTAGTATCATCTTCCTGATTTAATAATCTAACTACTTGATATTAGACCCGAACTGAGCTCTCAGCCCCCAAATCTGCAGGAGCAAGTAGCTAAACACGAGTTTAGAATCAGGCTGCTGTTATAGATGTGTTTGCACAGCAGAATTAAAACTGGCATCAAAAGCCACAATAGGCGGTCCTGTTCCTCTGGTGAGAGTGATATGAATACTTATGAGGACTCACCCCCCCCCACCCCAAACAGAGCTGCAGTGGCTGCTCTGCCTTTTGTTCTCTGGTTTGTTTATCCCTCTGCTGCCGCCTGTTAAAGGGCTGAGCATTCAGCCTTGATTTACAACCTGAATAAGCTTAACAAGATAGCATTATTCTGCATATGAATGGTGTAAAAATCAGCTCTTGTGAGTTATGAGGGTCCCTTGATGTACATGTCCTCACACACATACATTATGCCCATGCATGGTTGTCCAGTGTAGCTACTGAGCTTTAACAGCGGTTCATCTGTTGGCAGTTTTATAAGCATTCCTGGTTTATATACCCAGTCTTTGCTGAGATCAGTATTTCATACATGACAAAACTTGTTTGTGATGAGGGGCTGACACTTATTATACCTTATTCAAGTAGAGGACAATATATGCTACAATATATACAGATTAAGCTGCACTACAGTATATCTAAGCTACAGTATCCGTGTCTATCAGTATATCGATGTGTATCCCTGATTTTAATACTCTCAAAATTCCGATTTATTTTTATTTTTGTTTGCACTGTTTGCTCTAGAAGTCAAAATGAAGGGTAGCGCCTTTAGTCACCACCCTCAGTTCTATGACTGCAGTTTAGGTGGCCACCCACTTGAAGCAGGTGATAAAATGTGTAAGCAGATGCCCACAGGGTTGTTATCTGCCTCGCTGGCCTGCTGCTCCTTCGCACAGACCCTCCTGTGTTCTATAGAACAGGCTGACAGCAGGCAGCGCTCTGTGGGGTCAGAAGTCATGCGACTAGAAATGTAATTACATTTATTTTAAATTGTACGTAAAATTACAGAAATTGACTGTGCACAGTTGAGTACACCTGGATAGTCATAGCACTGCCTTGCATGACCCTATATATAGACTGAGTAGCAGTGTGTCTGTAAAGTGTCCAGATCCCACTAACTGTATGGCAACCAGACAGGTACATGTATGTCTCTGATCCTATCTGCTGCCAGTGCCAGGATGGGGCTGTGCTGACTATTTAAAAAATAAATAAATAAAGAGAGGCCCTCCTTCATTCATTCATTCAGGAATGTGAAGGAGGATGAGGGTTGAACAAAGGATGAAACGGCTTCTGCAAACACTCCAGGGCCAATTCTGGGTATTCCCCTCAAACTTTTAACGATGCGAGGACCTTGGTCTGCGTTTCCAGAAGCTGCTTCACCCTCATTATCTTTGGAGAAACATAGGAGTCCTGAATGTGCCTTGATGAACGTAGAGTTTCAAGAATGGACCTCAACAGTTGCCACATTATGTGTAGAAGCTGTGTGGAGGTGTATTGCTGTGATATGCAGGGACACAGCAACGATGAAGGAATGTCTCTGGTGCTGGCCAGTCTGAGTTCTACTTTCTGTTCCTAGAATTCAAAGATCTGTGATTATAAAAATGTTCAGTGAGTTGCGTCCAAAGCCCCCCCCTTTTTTTCATGGGTTTGAAAAAGATGTTGCAAGACTCTAAGAGTAACTTTTCTACTATTTGCTGTAAACTATTTTTTGATCCAAACTCGATATACTGTGTTTCAATGTGTTTTTTTTTATTTGTCTGATTTTTTTTTCTTCTCTCTGTTTTCCCAAACATGATTCTTCTCTTTTTGTACAAGGGCTTGTAGATTAAATGTACGTCGTTGTGAAGAATCACTGTTGTGGCGCAATCTAGAAATGTTTGGGAAATCAAGGAAGCCACTTTCAGCAAACAGCATGTGAAACAGTCAGTGAGATGATCCATGTTTAGTGCGGAGCTGCTAAGTGATTTCCACACATGAACGGCATCAGCTGCTTTCTGTGTGAACGACGGTGAATATTAATGTGTTTTAACCGGCAGATGAAGGAAAGCAAAACACTCATCAGCCTCTTCTATTATTGAATTTGAATATGAATTCTCTAAACATTAAAGAAAGTGTTTGACTCATTAATCCAGGGTATCTGTGCCACAGCTCCTTCGGTTTTAACTTGAATATGCAACATGGAGAGCGGCGACCAGCCCTCTCTTCAAATGGAATCATCTCATTGGCTGTTTTCTCTAATTACAATCACATGGACCTCAAGAACTCAATGACTGTCGCACTGGATTTTTACACTCTTTTTTTCAAATGGTATATATACATATATATACTATATGCTCTGGTCTAATTGTATTTTTAATACTGCATGTGCATGCAAATAAGGAAATCATGGATTACATGACTTTATAAACACGTGCTCTGTTTGTGCTGTGGCGTC